AATTAAGTTTAGCCTCAAAAAATTCTTTCCATCTTCTGAGGAGATCCTTAACAGTTTTAATAGGCACTCCATTAATATCGTTTCATTGACTCCTTCTCGAATTATATTTACTTCATGAAGAAAGCGGAATAGTTTCCTATTATCGCCTAATCGAGCCGCCGTCTCCATCCTCAAGGCCATGTCACTCCAATAGTGATTTCTGTCCCGCCTTGCTACTTTCGTTGAAATCTTCGAAGCACCCGGTAGTTAAGATCACCTGACATTCGTGCTTTGGCAGCTTTTTCAGATAGTTGGATATTCACTTCCGATACTCAACTAGCGCATTTCCTACTAGTATGCCTACAAACGTAGAAGTGGCTGACTTTCGGAAATATTCCTTTAGTTTGGACCAGTATTCATTAAGCATTCCAGAAAAATCATTGATATTTGTATCATTGAGATGCTTCAATAATTCGGTTTGAAATGCGCTCACTGTCTCCAAATTTTTTGGTTTGAGAGTTTGGTTTGAGCTAAAGGATCTTGGGGATGCTATTTTCTGCGAGTTATCAATTTTATGCGGATCTTGGTTCAAACCATAACATGGTCAGATTCATGAAGATTGTCCGTTTCAGCGATAGGAACGACTATCTAGTATGGAACTCTTCCAACGGCAAGATATAATCAATCTAATTGGTGTTGGTTATCCGGGGATTGACTAGATGTTTTTTATGTTTTCTATGCCGGAAGCAAGTATTAGTAACAAAAAGTTCATGCTCTTCGTCATAACGAAGGTGTTGGCGCAACGGTCTCCGATGCCATATTTGCCAAATGTAGAAGTCATCGCAGCGGTATTATGACCATGTTACACTCGCATTCCAGTCTCCCCTCATTATGACCATGTTATGTCATGTTTTGGTAGAGACTTTGTTAGCAGTTGAAGTTTCGCATAAAACTTATCTTTATCACGGTCATTTGCGCGCAGAATTGGAGTCTGATGACCGAAATATTACAGAACTTACCCTTATAACGGGCATATGCCATACGGTCGCTTACCGGTTTCCACTCAATTAAAGCGGAATGGGCTTTATTAGACTTGACAACCGCTATTTCGCCATCTCGTTCCGAGGTACCCGAAACACCACAGTGATATAGCCAGCACCTTTGTCCTTTGCTCCGAGCTAGTATTAGTAGTTAAAAAAAAACTCGAAGTGAGAAAGACGGACTGTCGACAAGCAAACGATATCCAAACGATATTTAGAAAGGGTATGGACAAGGGTATGATTGCTTGACTTACAACGTCAATAAGCGTTCTTACGTTCCACGCTGATATGGCTAATACCTCGTCATGTCTGCAAAGGGTTTTTCCCCTTGATAGGTTTCGAGCAATTACCCTGGCTTGCGAGCACATTTTATTTACCAGCCTTGGGATTTAAGCCCGGATTATATACTTATCGCATATACCACCGGGCTGGGAGTATCATGCGCGTCAACTGACCCTTTCACCATAAAGTCACTTGGGGATAGAGCTACAGGTAGGTCTCCAGCAATCATTCTTCATCTCTTACTCTCTTGTATAACGCTTAAGTTTTTTGTCGTAACTTGCTTAAATTATTTGTATATGTTTTTTTCATTTTTTTATTCAGTCTTAGATTTATTTAAGTTACAATTGATAGTTAGTTTCTGCTGCTTCAAGAAAATGCGAGATTCAAAATGCGGAATGGCTATTGTTTTGTCATACCTCTTATTTTTATCACTCAATATTATCTCAAATTCCATTCAGTCTCTTATATTCTTTCAAGATCTTTTAGATCTCTGAAATTTTTTCTTCTTTACTTGAAAAGGTAAACTCCAAATTTGAGTTCTTGCACTGTCGTATTGCTTTTATAGTAAAACGACATCAGCTTCTATTTATCTATACTTTCAGCTTCTATCAAATTTTTTGCTGGAAATTTTATTATCGTGTTTCTTCTTTGACTGTAGTTCTCTACACTTTGTACAACTTTTTATTCCATCCGCCTCTAGCAGCTATTTGAGACTGAGGTTTTAGATTTAGAATAGTATAGAGACATCTATTTTATCGCAATAAAATGATGCATGAAAATAAATAACTGTTTGAATAAAAAAAATAGAGGAACTGCTCCATGCATGTTTTGAAATATAAATTTCTTCTTGTTTCTTGCCAATATTGTATTTAGCCAATTTAAATTTGCAGTTTGGACTGAATTTGCAGGTAAATTAAATCATTTGAAGTAGCGACCAGTTAAATATTAGGCATTACCATTTTTTTAACATTTGACGATTTGTAAAATACTACATATTTCAGTGCTGCTGAATGAAAATATCGAAGATGTACATGAAGGCCGAAAAAAAGTTTGGGTGCAAAGTGAATTCTTTCATCTTTTGTAAAAAATCGCACATTTTTCATGGAATATAAAATGTGAAATATAAAATATTTTTTATTATCTGAATCAGAGTTTTTTTAAATTAATAAAATACTGACGGATTTAGAAAATAGAAATTTAAGCGCTTTCCATCTTCTGAAGTGCTTTTTTTCATGCAATAGTTTGCAAAATCCTGCTGTATGTTATATATATAGTGGCAGATAACGATTTGTTTAGCGAATTAATTATTTGTAAAATATACAAATATACAAATTTAATATGGGATGTCAGTGATGCAAAGAAAAGATATAGAAACACTTTATAATTATAAATACAAATGCGATGAACAAAAGAATACAAAAATTATTGTATAATTTACATTAAATGTTTCTTAAGGGAATCAAATTATGTTAAAGAAAGCAATAATGTAATTTAATTGAAAACGAACGGAGAGATAAGAGAGGTTATCAATATGAAATATATTTTATCATTCATTAGATAAAAGAAGAAATATTCTCCGAAAAGTCGAGACAATCTCTTCCATATTTCTTTTTTTTTCTTCAGAGATAATATGAAATATAAAACTTGTAGAAGTTTCGCAAGGCTTTAAAGCGATATCATTTTCTACAATCATCGCAGTGTATTTCAGCAAGATCAACAAATCACAGAAAGCTATATGTTACGTAATGTTTTGCAGGATATCATATCTAGTTTTTGGTTAGTGACAAATTTTGGTTAATGGATAAAATCACAAATTTCGATCGGCTAAAGTAAAATCTTTGGATATCGACTAACTAATACAGTCTAATCTAGATCATTGCACGAATTTCGACTTCTAAATAATTTTAATTTCTAATGGTTCATCATGAAACTATTGCATAAAAAAAACTAAGCTATCGATCACCATCAATTCAAATTAAACATAATTCGCTACCTCGGACCGTTAAAAAGTTAATTTGCCAATATCTGACAGTTTAGAGAAAAGTTTGAGGAACCTGAGTTAAAAATGAAATGAACATAAATTTAGTTCAACTGCCTTATAAATAAACCACATGAATCGCGATCGCAAAGAATTCTCAGTTCAAAAACAAGTATGGTTTATTTCCAAAAAATCTTTCTAAAAATTTCTTTAATTAATTCCCGCTTCGTTGAGATTTTACAAGGATTCTATTCGATTTAAAAGTACCAGTAGAAAATGCAAAATATCTTAAAAATTAATTAATCAACTAAGAATTGAGTAATTAACTGAGCAAATTTTTTTCTTAGAAAAATCAAATGTTGGTAAATTTTATGGCAATGTGGAGGCTACTTTTGTAATAATTGTCCAAGCATGTTAAATTCGTGCGATTTAATTTCGTTCTATTTTTTAGGCAATTCAAGCATTTGAAGATGAAATACGTGGAGCAGCAATTAATTCATTGATTCGTTTCACGGTTTCAGCAGATTTTTTGCCTTGCACCAAACTATCATGATCGCTGTTTGGAATCACAATACATTCCGTTGAATCAGCTACCTGAAAACTTAAATTGCTGCAATATCAATAAATTGTTATCTGCCTTTTAAATGAAAATAAAAACCATCATTTACCATCAACATTTAAGTAAATTTATAAGTAAATTTTATAGAATTTGAAATTATTCGAGAAATTCTTATGCTTCTTTCTTTATATGATCTGAGGTATAAAATCTTCCAGTATTTTTTAAAAATATTTGGCTTAAAAAAAATATCTGCTGGCTTCGAGGATGAGTTTCTTAGGTTTCCTGGTTAGACGTTATATCCGAAAGCATTACTTGAAGCTATTCTTTTTATTCGAAGAGTTCTTTGTAATCAGATGCCTTTTTCAATGACAAAATAATTGAACAAGAAGTTCATCAGTCGAAAAGGCGAATAAAGCATTTTCCATTGGCGTAGGGTCCCAACTGCCCAAACAATCCTTCACAGTACTCATTCTGCAGGTGCATTATATTTCCCTCTCACCATGTCTTTTCGGAGAGATGCTATTAAAAGTTGAAATTCAACATAGAAACTACTTTTCTCATGATCATCTACATCTAGAGTTCACTGAGTTCACTGATCGAGGCATTATTGTGACTTCATCTGATCAGCGTTCTTCCACACATGGCACCAACTTTCTCGAATTGTCCGAAGTGACAATTGAACTGACTGATAGTTGCTTGCCGTTTGAGCAGCTATCTTTTCTCCAGAACCCATTTCATTCTGATTAATTATCTTTTTTGCAGTCTCGGCATATTTATCGCATTTATGCGTAAATTTTACATTAAGTATTTTAAGCACCGACTAGGGATTTCCATCATCCTTTTCAGCACAGGTAGATTCTAGATTTTCAGGTTTATCCCCATCGAAAATTGAGAAAGACAACAAATGGAGAAAAATGAAGTAAAGAAAAAGGGGAATATTATGAATGACAATTGTTTTTTCATTCGTTAATTTTTTTCGAATTCAGTATTTGAAATTAAAATTTAAAAACTTAGCTTATTATAATAAATACTCAACTTTGAAAAAATTTCGATAAAATTAAGAAAAGAGTCAATCGTTATAAAATAAAGGTTGCTGCAGAATTCAGAGCTTCATTTAGAGACGATCGCTTATGACAACCAAAGAAATTCTGTCTCTGTAACCCTACGAAGTATTAAAAGGTAAAACCTGTGATATCCCGTAGTCATGACCAACATCTTCTTCACGAGCTGCTCCTTGTTCAGCTCTTATAAGTGTTATATGTCCTCTGAATTTCCGCTCTGGTTTATACCTGAATCGGAAAAAATCGATTTATCGAATATTACAAAATATAGTAAAAAATTTCATAGTTGAATGTTTTGACAAACAACTGAAGAAACATTGAAATTTCGGGAAAATTTACTTGTCAGCCATAACAAATTTGGATCGCATAGCGCAACAAGCAAAATCAATCGTTTCAGCCGAATTAAACAAACCAGTGGTCATAACTGTGTCTATAACTTTCTGAAAATTCCAAAATATTTCAGATGCCAGTTGATAAATAAAGCAAAATGCAGTTAGCCATAAATTAGTCCATGAATGATTTAATTTGAAACGTTAGCATTAAGCCATGAAAATTTATGACAGGACAAGACGAAAAATGCGAACTTGAACTCGGGCTCTAAATCCAGGTTGCTGCAACAATTCCACTCGGAATTTCTTGTAATCGACATTAGCAAATCTGAGAGTCATTGCACACATTATTTCAGATTCGAAAAGTGGATTATTTACGAGTGTGTCTCCGGTAACTCCAAATGCCATGCGATAAACCTAAGTAGTCGCTTTTAGCGAAATAAAAATTTTACAGTTTTAATAAAATAATCGAAAAAATTTGGTCAGTTCGGCTTTATGAAAGGTTAATAAGAATAGGATTTTTTAAAAGAATAAAGCTAATAATAACATTTCTATAAGTTTGCATGTAGAGGTGAGATCCATCTAAGAGAATAAGCTTCTCAACAGAATTATCACCATCTGTTTCTTGAAGAATAGTTGCCATTTCAAAGCCGATGCATGCACCGTATGAATAACCAACTATCCGATAAGGGCCTTTCGGTTGAATCGTTTTCATTTCCTAAAAAAAAATGAAAATAAGGATTTGTTTTTTTCATGAACTCTTCGAGTATTTATTGAAAAAAAGAGAGAAAAAAGTAAAACCATACAGAAATGTATTTAAGGGCGACTTTTTCGATTGAATCTTGCGGAACTTCTCGAGTTGACTGGAAGCAATAAGCAGGAAAGTTGAATTTGGACATAACTTTCTTAAGCGGTGTTGCAATTCCTTCAATCGAATGAACAAAGAAAGTTGGTGGTCCTTCGTCAACTTTATTACATTTCAAAACGAGATCCATTGGTTCGAGATCGTTCACATCAACTCGCATCCTGCATTTTTAAATGCATAAGAATAAGGCATTGAAAATTTTCTTTTTGATTGCATTTTGTGGCACTATAACATTTCTATGTACAAATTTAGTGGCAATATATAGCAAAATTCTTCTATGAAATTTGAACCAGAAATTTTCTAACAAAAAAACAAAGGCATAATTCACTAACTTGAATAATTGGTTCATTTGCCTTTCGAGTTGTTCAACGGTATTCTGTTCTGCTTCCTTTTCACCCTCTTTTTTCAGTTCCAGTTCGGTCGTTTGAAGAACTGTAGATGGTGAGCCACCTGTATCTGCCATTTGTTGCAGTTTGTTCAATGTAAGCTGAAAGCAACACATCAGAAAATTGTAATTTAGAGGATTGAAAAAAACTGCAAAAAAAATCCATCTTTTTGAAATTCTTGGGCCGTCAGGGCATTTAACTTTTCATTTATTTTGACTAACTATAATATTTATTTATCTTTTAATATTTATGAACGAAAAAATATAAATATAAATTTACCGTCCTTATGTCTTTCATCGAGAGAACAATATCATAGTCCCTTTCAAGCGCTTGCTTGATTTCAACACCCATTAATGAGTCGAGACCGAGATCTCCAAGGTTAGCGTCGGGATTCAACTGCGATATATCATTGACACCCAATATGTGAGCAATAGTTTGTATTAAATTGCCACCACCTATCGTTTTCTTCGCACCCAAATCAGCTTTTATGTAACTAAAATGAACTTGATTGAATTTTCAGTATATTCTATCATTTATTTTTTGTAATTCTTACGAGTTCAGTTTTTTGGTATTCTGTATGTATTAGTCATATTACAAGTGAACCATTACCTGGCAACAACTGGATGGTTCCATGATAAGAAAAGATCCAAAGCGGCCAGGCATGATGGCATTCTTTGCGGCAATGTACCACCAACAATAGTATTATTATCACCCATATTTTCTAAAATCACGCCAACGTCACCAACGGCACCCCACTGTATAGCGATTCCCGAATATCCATCTTCGCGTCGATGTTCAATTATTCGTTCCATCGTTGAATTAGACCATCCATAATTAGTCTGTCCTGCATTTCCACGGCCCGATGTAATTGAGGAGAATACCACAAACCTGAAGAAATAGAAAAGAAGATATAATGAAAAAAGTTTAACGTAATTTTTCATTGATTTTACCAGCGAAGATCTTTGCCACAGACATCTCGTGTAGCTTTATCAAGATTAAGAGTCCCATAATATTTCGCTTCAGCTGCATCCTTGAAATTTTGCACATTCTGATTTTCAAAAAGGCAATCGCGCAACACCATCGCTAGGTGGAAGACACCACCAATTACTCCCATAGATTGACATTGAAGAACCAGTTCCTGAGCATCCGAGGGCTTCGAAATGTTTAGAGTCGATACGAGCACAGATATTCCAGTTCTACGCCAAAAATGCACACATCGTGCTTGATATCCCGTACGTATGCCGGAACGTGATGATAATACAAGTCTAAATATTTTAGTTCTTTAAGCAATAATGAAAATTTTTATTTTTCTATTGGCCATCTGTTGTATTTGCCATTCTTATCTTCATCAATGTTCTTAATGCATAAAATATCTAGGATTAGAATTTATTATAGAAATATCTGCGATTGCCATCGGTGAGGCCAGATATGCCAACAAATGCAGTGATTTCTTTCCCACAAACGTGATTTAAAGAAACAGTATATTTCATTTAAATTTTAGTAAAAATAGGATGCAAATATTTTCCTATCCATGTTGGATTGCCTGAAAATTTTCCATAGAAGCCTTCGAGATCAGGTGAAAACACAAAAACACTGTTCCTAAATGGATTACTTTTGATTTCATTTTCTTAATCGTCTTCTTAAATTTTTTCTTCAGTTTTTTTCTTAAGCGAAAATTTACTTTCTAGCTCCTCGATTTATCAGCCATTGAGCAAGTTCAAGACCAAAGCCTCCTATTCCACCAGTTATGAGGTATACATGATGAGGATGGCATAATGTTCTACATATTGCTTGAACTTTTATTGGTGATGGGATGCAAACTCGCTCAGGTTCTTCTTTGCGAATCTCCATTAAAACCTATAAGGTCATCCGATTTATTGTACAATTGGAAACTTCATTAATTTCTTCAAAATAAATAAATAATGAGCCTTGTTAAATGAAATGTTTAGCAATAAACAGAAAAGAATATGGAGAAGATAGTCTATAAATTTACAAAATTGAACGTTTTTTTAATTTTTACTTTGCCAATGTGTTTTCCTGCTGACATATATCGGAATGCTTCTTCGGCTTTTTCACTTGAAAAAGTGGTGTGTGAAAGCGGTTGAACTATTCCACTTTTAATACCCTCTTGAAGAAAGCTTGCCACATTCTGAAAAATTATCGAATTTAACTGAACTTTCATGACATAAGGTAAAAACCTCCTTTGTAACGAACCTTCCAATCTTCACGGTTGCCAACTCCAGGATCCATGATGGCATCAACCAGGATGCCATGAAAAGTAACATTTTTTAAGAAAACAGCCATACCAAGTGGTGAATTCTGTGATAGATCGACTTTACCAATCTCAAGAAATCGCCCATGATAAGCCAAACAACGTACCGAAGCCTTAAACGAATCGTTAAATTAAATAGATTTGACGCTGAATTATATTTTTTCAACCGTATGATTTTTACTCCCATAGTCAACTCTTGTAAAACTTATTTTAAGCATTTGAAATCAACATGCCTGAAGCATTTGTTGGGCAAGAGAATTGAGCACAATGTCAACTCCCCTTCCTTTAGTTTGACGTCGAACGTGAATTTCAAAGTCTGCATTACGAGAGTTGGCAAAATGCTTGTCTTTCAATTGTGGAAATCTGAAAAAAAAATTGTTGCAAAATTGCAAATATAAAAAATTTCTACACTTATATGAAATAGAAAATTTCAATAGGAGCTTAACCAGTTTAAGAAATTGCACCTTTTCTGTAAGAAAGCTCGCTTTTCCGCATTTCCAACTGTAGTAAAAACTTCGCAATCGTATGATAGAGCAATGGCTATCGCTGCTTGGCCGACTCCACCAGATCCACCATGAATTAGTATCTATAAATGAAATAAAAACTTCCACGATTGCAGACAGAATGCAATGCAAGAAGCTGTAAAAAAAAAAATCCGATAATCGTGAGCTCAATAATTCATGGAAAATGAAACGTGCATTTTTCATACAAATTATGGAAGAGCCTCAACGATACCTTTGAAGCTGCCGATAAATATTAGTTATTTTCGTTCTAATTAAAGACGTGCCTCTGGATACCAACAAAATCCACATTAAGGTAATGGATAAACTGCATATCAAAACAAATAATCCAACTGTTCGAAAAAACCACCAGAGAATGAATGTCGTCAAGAAGAGATAGAGCACTTCGAATGTGACAACAATTGTACGACGATACAGAAAACATTATTGAAGTGATATGCTTTAAATATGAAAATCACTGCTGGAGCATGAGTAGGAAACTATTTCACCTTCTTGTAAAGTAAAGATAACTCAGAAAATTACCACTAGATAGATAATTAAAGAATCAAAGGCCTTATACGGCGAATAGAAATTATGATTATGATTAAACTAGTCATAATGAATTAATTATCTATCATCCAATAGATTCTCGCTGAAATCGTAACTGTAGGCTGCAAGAATTACTCATTTCAGAAACTTAAAGCCAATAAAAATGCCTACAATCTATCTTTTAACATTTTAGTCTTTTAGTTGATCAAGATTGATTCTTTGCAAAACTAATCTTCAAATGTTCTCCAATGCCCTTCATAATGCGTCTTCATTTGATGATCTTGCTGGTAAGGAAGAAAGAACTTAGAGAAAGAAAAAAGAAGGAAGAACAATATTCTCAACTATAGCATCGGATTATAAAGTCTGAGAATGTAAATGTCTCAAACTTACAGCCAGCTCAATGGTATGAGTTTTTAGAAGAACATACGAAATGACTAGGGACACATGATTTATGCAAAATAATATTAAAAAACAATATTGATTTTAGCCTAAATTTAGCCTAAATAGTCTTTCCATAATCCATATTTTTTGTTTTATTTTTTTCAACAAATAATAGTAAATAATAAAAATAGCATAGTGAACGAAAATAACATGCCTTTTCTCCTTTGCGTATTTGGCCTCTGATGACAAGAGCATAATAAGCTGTGCTGTAAACCACAGGTACTGTTGCTGCATCAGCCAATGACCAACTATCGGGGACGATCCAATAGAAACCAGGATTGGCTAGAACTGATGTTGCTAGTGCTTGAGCAGGGAGAATACCCATCACACGAGTACCATCTTTTAAACGACCAGAATATTCCGTTCCAAGAAGGCATTCACGATCAGCAAACTGAATAATCGATTTCGAAATTTAAGTTTGACTTTTATTTTCTAGAAACCAAATGATTCGATCGATTACCTGTCCAGGAATCGCATCTGGTGGTAGTCTACCATAAGCGAGCATAACATCACGGAAATTTATTGCTGCATAATATACATAACACATTTCCATCTCACAATGATTGTCCTTCGCAAAATCATCGAAAAACTGATTTGGTGATTCGAACCATGTTAAAGAGCTTACGTCGCCTCGAACCAATGTATTGATAAAGGCATGTTGGACTTCTTTATATTGGTGCATCTCATCTATAAATTATAAATCGAATGCTAAAAAAGTGATCAGCCATGCAAAAAATAACCTTCTTTCACAACGAAATGACGTAACGATCCCCATTTTCCATCGCGATAGATATTCGCGTGTAAATCAAGGTCCATTAAATGTTTTACATTCTCGTCGTCAAGTTTCAACTGTGGTTTTCCAGTCCGATTTTCAGGTTTTATACTGAGGTCCAATAATGTTCGAAAACGATTTGATTTGAGATTTTCTTCGCTGAAAAAGTAACCAAGTCGCATGATCAAAAATTAAATCCAATATTCGTTTTTATGATGAAATGGAAATTTCTACTGATAGCTTAATTTCTTCTTCCAAAATTATTATTATTGGTTAAGCTGCTTCAAAAGCAAGATGGCTCCAAGAACGCCCGATGCTATGTCTAATTAAAGAAGCCACTTCTTTTTCCAACGATTAAACCCATATAATTTGAAATGCGCCTTAGATTGGTCAATGATTGGTCAAAGATAGATAATTTCTTAACATTTTTCAATCTTATTGGCCATGTTTCGCATAATACAGCCAGAAAAATATGAACTTTTATTTTCATAGCGATTTCGCAGCATTTCTTAAAGATTTTGCCACTTTTCTTGCTGCGGTATCTTTCATCTTTCGATTGGTCATTCACTGGTATAAGAGTGACCCAAAGAAAATTACAACACATTTTATAATTTGCTGCATAGAAAGTTATGGAATTGAAATAATTGATAATTTTTTAGATTATAGAGAGGGTGTAGTAATTTTGTTTCTACAGTAATTATACGATTACATAAGAATGCACATACCGGAAGCAAAGAGCAAGACCAACCACACCATTGTTGCGCACAGTCGTACTTGTTAGCCAAATGGTCTTGTTATCAGGTTCATTAAGTCGCTCCTCAATTATCGTCTGTACTGGTTCGATCCAAGAAAATTCTTTTATGTCATCAACATCGACAATAACAGGGTCTTTTGGAAGTGATGAAATTTTTCGGATCGCATATGTGGTAGTCATCAATGAGGGATCAGTCTATAAAGCAACTCCCAAATAAAGCATCCAAAAAAATAATGGAAAATTTAACGAAAATGCAAAAAAAAATTATCATAATCTCACTTGATAATTGCAAAGCCGAAGATTACATTCACTGAATATTTTAACAAGATTTTCATGAGTGAAATATGTCCCAAATTTACGATGACTATCACCAATTTTAAGATCTTCGCCCAGTAAGCCTTGAATAGCCAATGCAATCTCAAAATCAGATGTTGGTTCGATTATAACCATGAAGCCATCATCTATTAGCAGTTCTTTACATTTGTTTAAGTAAGAAACAATATCTTTTTTCCTATAAAATTGTATTTTGATAAAAGAAACATTAAATTAAAAATATTAAATTTAGAAATAATAAAATTTGGGAATTTCTTAATAGACTTAAAAAAGTTTTCACGAAAATCAGAATCAGACCTAATTACACTTAATTTAATAAATGACTGCATTAATTGCAATTTACCTGGAAAGAACTTTGTCGAGCAAAAGAACATTGCAATTTTGCATTTCAATAGCGAACGATGCCTTCTTATCATCGAGATCAACTTTATATTTTTTTGAGCCTAACTGCAGCAAGCTGCTCTCATCCATGCTATCGACTTTTGGGCCAACACAAAGTGACTCAACTTCTATTAGTGGATGAGAACTAAGAGCATCCAAACATATTTTCAGCTGATCTGTAGTATTTAATTCAACTGCACAGATCTTACTTTTATGTCCAGCTGAATTCTCCATGCACATATCCTATAAAAAAAATTAAATTTCCTCACAGTTTTTGAACCAATCAGTTGTAGGCAAACATAACGATATACTTTGGTTGAAAACAGAATATATTTCTTGCTGTACTAACCAAAATTGCTTTAATAATACGGTCATGCACAAGTGCTCCACTCCATAAACGATCGTGGTCCATGATTTTCATCATAGCTGACATTTTTTCAGCAATTTTGCGTTCAAATTCGTCTATGTCTGCTCCTATCTCTGTCGCAAATATTTCATCAAATGCAACGGCAACGGATGATCTATAAATTTTTCTTTTTTTCACTTTTTATGAGATCTTTATAGGATTTTTCCAAGAGATTTTCGATTTTTATACTTAATGTACATTAACGCTACTTTGCTGATTTTAAATCGCAAATTGGTTTTTTCGACAGTTTTTTCAAATTTATTTTTGATATTTTTGATAAAGGATTTATGAATGTAAATTTTGTAACTGAGTCTCGCAGCAGATTCAAGTGAAATTCTTTGCACGTTCTAATCAATGAGGAGCGAAATCTAATCAGATTGAGAAAGCGCACATGGTTCATGAATAAATTAAGCAGGCAATTAACTAACTTCGAATCTTCAAGCCACATTTTATGTTCAACATCACTGACGGAAGTCATATAATTGGCGATGCTTTTAACGGCATCAGAAAGCAATTCACCATTTTTAAATTTCTTTAGTACACCTGCCACTTCCCATTTCGCTAAGCCGTTTGCGAGAATTGAGCGAATAAAACTGCGATAATTTATTAAAGCATTTCGATGGCGAGGAAATTCATCCAGTGCACTAAATAATTATAATCTAAAACGATGCAACAAAGACATGTCTATGCTCACATCCTTCTAAATCCACGAATAAGTATTTAATGCTTTTTCAAAGTTTAAAAACCAATAGATCATAGATTTAACCATAATATCTTGCACCCAATAGTGATGTGGGCTGATGGAATTAAAAAAAGAAAATGTAGGCTTCAGGAACTCGATCGATCTTAAGTACCACATCATTCTTTTTATTTTAAATTATTGGTAAACCGAAGATTTTGAATTGCCTGAATAATTTACTTACTGATCATCGAAATGATTAACGAAATAAATTTTTTCGTAAAATATTTGTCCTGCAGATTGCATACGTCGTGATACAGTATGTGCAGTGAGATCACAACATTCAACCCCACCTGCTATACAACCTCGTGTAGCAATATCATTACGGAGTTCGATTACTTGAATGCCATCTAGAATTCGATGCAGCATGGATAAAATAGTAAAAAGCTTTAGAATTCTGCAATGTCTATAAACGATTTCATAAGCATAATCCCTGATGAAAATCGTTGTTTTATTTTCAAACTCCAAAAAAAATTCAGTTTCCGCAACCGTTTTGAAACTACTCTATTCACTTTCTCTCTCCCAGTCATTATTATTTTTTTCTTCTTTGGCGATTTGTGGTTTCGATTTGTGGCTAAAGAAATATGAAACATAAAAAAGATGAGTATGAAAAGGCTGCTTGGAGATATTAACTGATTAAGGCAAAAGAGCACAGTTTTGGAAAAAAAGTTCGATAGAAGTTTTTTTCAGGGAACCTGATAAATTTTGGAAGACATATGGGAGATACAATATTATCTGAGATTCTTCGGCTTGAGGCTACAGTCCCATTCTTTCGCATGGGGGAATATTAACTTACTAACCAAACTTTTTATTACAGAAATACCTTTTTCAATAATATGCTCCAAATGCTTTATGGGATCAATTCGAAGATAACGCACTCTAGTTGGTAATCGAAGGCTATCACCACGTTCTGCAAGGAGCGCTGTTTGCAGCAATGAATCCAAAAATGTAACCCAATTTCCTGTCCAATAAAGCATTCCACGCTCACCACTGTTGCATGTCCGATAAATTCCGCTTGAAAAACCAAGTTATTTCTTATCTAATTTTCATATTGTAATTTTCTCGAAATAATTTGATTTTTTCTGCTTTAGGCGATATTATAATAAATCTTTTTTAATGCTATATTATCGACAAAAAAGTAATATAATAAAAATATTCATTTACAGGGTAGTAAAAATGCTCATTTTATGATGTATGCGAAAATCATATCGTTAAATTTGAAATACCTACCGGAATGACTGGCCATATTCATAACCACGTAATAAGAATTCTTTGTATGCATCCTCAGTATCGAGTTCAATTCTTTCAGCAAGTTGTGAAGTTTCAATCATGTCAAAATCTTTGTAATAAAATGGTACATTTTCGTCGACTATCTGAATATTGCCAGAAGCAGCCAATTGTTCACCATCAAGAATTTCGAAATATCCATTCCCGGGTGTTATTATAACATCGAGACGAACTGAAATTCATATGGCTCTTATTTGCATATGCTTAGTGAATGTTTTCGCAATCTGTGTAATTCAAGTAAACTAACAAGGTTTAGTAACGATTGTTGCACTATAAACATTAATGTCTTGAAGAATGACGGGTGTTTTTTGATAATCCACTCCCCGTAACTTAGCTATTGCTTTCCACGCAAGTACCATGTGACCAGTAAACGGATATAATATACGTCCATCAATCATATGGTCAAGCAAATATGTTTCCTAAATGATTATCTTGTAGTTATGTCGTATCATCATACCTAATTTCGTTTTCTTCTTCTATCATTTTTAGCCAAACGATAAACAAGCGATAGAAGTCCTTATCCATCTTCGCTCAAATACCACTTCCATTAGCACCATAACAGCATCGCTCTCGCTAATTAGGACACGTTCTTCGCTCACCACAAGAGTTAACATATATTTTCGTTAAATCCTGTGATGGGTGGCAGCAAAAGCAAGGTGAACCAATCAAGACCTGGACTGACAGTCGGAAATATTTTGAAGATTTATAGGTGGACCAGTTATATATGAACTTAGATGATGGAAAAAAGAATGGCTTCTATTACTGTCGAGAACGACGCCGGGTCGAATAGCCTGGAGTCGTCTTACCTTTGAGTCACCGGAACCAGCCTAATCAGCAATGGTGAGGGCTGTTAGGAGACGAAGAAAAAAATTCTCAACAATATCTGGATTTAATTTTCCTTCTCAATTTTCAGAAGTCTCATGATTCATAGCATTACATAGAAAATGAACATGTTTGAATATTACCAAAAAAATGAATGCGTCAAAAAAGTCACTTTAGAATCGGCTGCAAATGGATCGATTGTATAGCTTGCTGTCGCAGCTACTTGTCCACCACCTGCAGCAGAAAGCGTTTTACCATCTATTACTGGCCAATCTTGGCTATGGTCCCATCTCCAAATAGATGAGATCATTGGCGTTCCGACAGGCACTGGATATTGCACTGATGGGTATAAAGCTTCAACATGAATTGTAACACCAGTTTGATAAATTTTGCCGAGAGCCTTTAAATTTCTAAGTTTATTTTCTTAATTGTAAGTTGAAAAGAAAGCAAGGCAGTTTAAGTTTACTTGAAAAACAATTGAAATATTCACCTGGAGAAAAGCTTCAAGCTCACGTTCTTTTTCTTTTGAATTCATTAATCCAACGTTAGTGCATGTTTTCTGCAATGATCGTCGAAGAATTGCGTTCATTATGCAGTGGGGTGCGATTTCAATTGTAACTGCATTAGGCGGAACTTTTTGGAGAGATTCATAAAATAATACAGGACTCATTGCGTTATTGGTATGGTATTCTGCACTACACATTTGTGCAAGTTCACTATCCCACTCTGATTCTGGAATGGATGTCGAAATCCATCGCGATGTTCTTGGTTTTGCATTTGGTATAACTGTTCGCATTGCTTTAAGCATTGATTCTTCAACCTTAATAGTGCCAAGATGAAAAAATGGCGCATCATTTCTAAAAATACCCTTTTAGATTTCATAATTTCCTTTGACCTTTGACCACTCTTGTCTAAGATATATTTTACGGGTTCGCTGAGTGGATAAAATCTCACAAGGTCGCATCCACCTTCGTTCAAATACCACTTGCATAAATAATGTTATCACAGAGCACCGCCTTCGCTAGGGTACATTTTCCGTCGTCCAACACACGAGTTGACGCATATTTCGTTATTTCCTAAACGTGTGATGGATGGCGTCAAAAGCGAAGTGGGCCAATCAAGACCTGGGCTGATACGGTCAGAAAAGTTTTTGAACGTATAGGTGGACCAGCAATATATGGACTTAGAAAATGGAAAAAGGAATGGCTTCCATTACTGTCGACGATGGTATCAGACCGCTTGGAAGCGGTTGGAGCCAGCCTAACCAGTAATGGTAAGAGCTGTTAGAAGAAGAAGATTTCAAAATAAAAATTTATGACTAAAATTTGAATAACCGTTTTCATTGCAGGTGAATGAAATGGTATGCCTGACGAATCAACGTTTTTAGCAAAGATATCTTCTTGTTGAAGTTCTTCGACCATTTTTTTTACAACTTCTGTGTCACCAGATATTGTTACTGTGTCAGCACCATTATGACAAGCTGGTACAACCCCCGGTGGGCATCTGGCTTTAGCCTTCTCCCTGAGAAAGAATATCTGAAGATATAGGAGTGGAAAAACAATATATTAGTACTGAGAAGCTCTTAATCATCAATAATTAGTAATTAATTAAATTTGTACCATGTTAATCCTACAGCTGCCATACTACCTTCTATTTTACCATTCATTATTGTTGATCCTCGATAATAAGCTAAACACATGGTCTGTTCACGAGTGAGGCCGCCATCTGCATAGCCACAACACATTTCACCGGTTGAATGACCGATAATGCCATCAGGATGTACTCCCATTAACGACAAAACATCGGTAAGAGCTATCTTAAATTTTAGCTTCGACATTTATAAATTTTTTGCTCTGTGCATAACTTAACTTTTCGAGTTATGAAATTCATAAATATAAAACAATTCCATAGTAACTCAATAAATTTATCAACTTGTATAGCTGTGATTGCTAGCATGCAATTAAGAGTATTATTTTTGTAAAGTTCAGCATCATCCTTCTGTAACATGCTGTATACATCATAACCAAAATCTTTGACTGCTGCACTGGAAATTCGTAATGATTCATCAAAAGCAGGTATTGAAATTAGTTGCCGAGCCATTCCGGGCCATTGACTTCCCATTCCTGAATTCAATACATTTTCTTCATACAAAATTGATAAATTGATTTCTAAGAAATTAGGCTGAATATTGAATATGTTTAAATATTCACCCGAATAAATGAAATAAATTTGTTTTGGTTCAGTGATCAATATTTTCTGTACATCTCTCAATGGTGGCAGTTCGGGATTTCTTTTAACCTCTTTTGGCACTGGTATCTTGTCACGATCAAGAATCATATAACCACGAAAAGGCAAATCTTTAGCAGGCATATTTGCTTGATTTGCTAGTAGCTGTTGAAAGTATGGATTATTTGCATTAGTTATAATAGAATCAAAAATATTCATCACAGCTTCATTTGTACGTCCCGCATATGTAACAATTTTCATAAAAGTCGTCGGTGCTGGTTTGCGCTCGCTGTGATTGGCAGATCGAAGTATAACATGAGTGTTACTACCACCAAAGCCAAATGAATTAATTCCAACTATTCCTCTTGGAAACGAGGTTTTCTCGGATACGACCTAGAACAATTCACTGATTTTTCGTTAAAATAGTATGTATAATAAACATGAGTTGTAACAAAAATTGTATCACCTTAATTCGTCCATCAACTAATCCTGGTATATATGGGTTGGGCTCAGTGTAATGCAAATTTGGCGGAATAAACCCTGTTTCCATGGCAATAATAACTTTGGCTATTGAACAAAGACCTGATGCTGGCTCAGCGTGCCCCATATTTGATTTAACAGACCCAATTAAAAGGGCTGGCGTCCTGAAGAAGGTTAAAATTAAAAATGAAAAACATTTAATGCATTAAATAAACATGGTGTGATTGGTCAAAATTTTTAAAAATATTTTCGTCAGAAATGAACCTGTTCTGACAAAAAACTTGGCAAATTGCATTAGCTTCTTGAGGGTCGCCAACTTTTGTCCCCGTGCCATGTGCTTCTACATAGGTAACGACGTTTGGATCAATACCGGCTTCTCGATAAACTTCTTCAAGTAAAGCAGCTTGGCGTTCACCGGATGGAAAAGTTATTCCCTAAATATGTTTTATATTTCTCTAATCAGACGATGATGATTTTGAAATCAAGCTTTACTCTAAAAAAATAAACCTGCTCCTTAAAGCCATCAGTATTACTCTTTGCATGCAAAACTGTAGCATATATACGCCTGGCAGCGGATTCCCTTTGTAGTAGGATGGCAGCTATAGCTTCCGTCCGGCAATACCCATCGCCTTAAATATTAGTGTGAATAATTAATTCTACGGAAATTCCCTGGCTATTAGGAGTTAAATTAGATCAGGAGTTAAATTTATTTAACCAATTTATTTAACTGATATTCAGTTTTGTTAAAGCTTTAGTAATACTATACATAAACAAACCAGATGCGTCGAATGAACGACAGCTACCCTTATCTGAAAGCATTCCTAATCGAAGAAACTGTAAAGCTGCAGTAGGAGTTAAATTTAAATGGGCCCCAGCAACAATTGCTGCTTCACACTGTTCTTGGCGTATTGCATCAATTGCCAATTGCATTGCGCACAGGGAAGACGAACAAGCAGTATCGACGGAGAAAGACGGTCCTAAAATTACACTAAAATTATGCAAACGAAATCATTAATATTAAAGTTGTTAACGAAATTACTAACACTAAAGTCCTATGGCAACACCTATTAGCAAAAAAAATGAATGAGCTTTGATATATTCTAAAAAATTTTCAAGCAACAAGCTCAATATTTAAGTCCTTACCTCGTAAATCAAAAGTAAAACTGAGACGATTGCTGAACATTGATCGGACGCATCCTGTTAGCGTGTAACCTGTGACCGTTTCAGGATCTTGAGTTAATGCACCACCAGTCTCTGACACTGAGCAACCAACAAAAACACCTGTCCGTGAGCCGCGCAATTCCACCGGATTATAACCTGTTGGATAGTTCTTTATAAGATTTAGGGATCTTCGTATTGGGCGAAAAATTGTCGATTTTAATTTTTTTAAATTCTTTAAAATCTTTTTCCGATTTTGGACTAATGAACCTCCTACTATTTTAAATTAAATTTGCGGCCAAGATTTGCTATCATATATAAGAGCCGCCATTAGGATTCTTGTTTTTTCTTGATGTAACCTTCTCTCTCTCATTTTACATACAGATCGATCATTTATTAATGATAATGATATTAAGCGAAGGAAATTTTTGTGTAAAATTGTGGTAGATTATGCACTTTTATTGTTCGACGTTCAAAGCATAATTTGAAAATAGTTGATGACGAAAATCAGTAATAGTAATAGTAGTGATAGTAATCGAACCTGTTTCGTATCTCTTTCTATTTCTTTCTCCACAAGAGATATTTTTATTTTTTAAAATATATTATCAGCGATTTAGTGAATAATATACGTGATTGGAAACTGATATAAAATTAACTGATTCAAGTCATTTATTGTTTGTGCACTACTGTTTTGGCTTAGCCCTCGTTTTAAATAATTACACAGTTTTATTCATACAAATTTTTATGTAATTTATTATGGATTTTTGCGATAATTAACGACAATAAAAGGTTTCATAATGAACGAAGAAAGAAAAGGTTGAACGATTGATAATGAAGAGATAAACAGATAGATAGATGGTGGGAGTATTGGTAATGGTCAAAACGACCTATGTGAACTGTGAATTTCATGCTTGAATTTCAAATTGGTGAAAAATAAAATTTAGAAAATATCAAGAACAACGAATGAAAAAAGGGATAGAAAGATTTTTGAAAAGGATAACTATTTATATTACAAAGTATAATAAAAATGAAAGAGTTCAAGGCTGAATGGCACAAACGGACACTTTCAATTTATTACTGCAACCCTCATTCCTTCTATAAAATCATTTTAATTTTTATTAAATAACAGATTTACAAAGTTTTTTTATAGAGGAAAATTTTATATATTTCTGAAATGCTTAATGATAAAGCTAGCTTGCTTTGCTTTTATACTAAGCAACTTGTACATCTTAAAGTTGTTTGCTAAAAATATTACAATTTCAACCATTTTTTTAAAGCATTTTTCGAAGAAGAAAGTGGATAATCGACTTGCCACTCAATTAAATTATTAAAAGGTGAATAAAACTATAAATTTTATTTGAACCGAAATTTCGAGATAATCATCAATACCGTAATAGAGCTACTGTACATTAGTGAACAGAAAGCGTTAAAAAAATTTGGATCAAAGGTCTTCCTTCATATTGAACCTATGTGAAAGAAGGTGCAATTTTCTGGTGCAATTGGTTTTCCCTCATTTATAAATAATCCTTATAGTACCATTAAATTACTAGTTTTTTAGTTTTCTATCTTCATCTCGATCCTTATTGTAGTTATTACAATAATTTTTATATTATTCATATTTTTTATTTGCAAAATCTTATTACTCATTTTATTCATTTATCAAATTGCTCGTTTCATTTAAATGCTAAAAATAATGAATTGATATTTGCTTATTGTAACTTCGATAGAAATAAATATTTTAAAAAACTAACCAGCATCAATAATTGCTTCAAATGTTACTTCTAATAATTTCCTAATTTGTGGATCAAGATAATTTGCCTGAAAATAATTTTTGCGCCATCTTTTTGGTTTTTTTAGAATTCCCTTTTTTAAACTTCACTTCACTTGATATTTGCTGAATTCAATACTAAATGATAAAGTTATTGAAGAGCTTTGAAAAACTATTGCATATAATCACTAAATCGACCAAATAGTTCGAAGAGAAATTTTCGATGAAAGACTATGAAAAATGAGAGAATGTTAACCTGTTTTGGTGTTACGCCGAAATACTGAGCGTCGAACTTTTTCAATTCTTTTAATTTTCCATGCCGCTTAGGCAGGTCGAAAATTCCTTTAATTAAATAGCATTTTAAAGTTATCTTGATCTATAAACAAGTTAATCGTATATTAATAATTGAAATCGTCAATTTTTCGATTTTTTTCAACTAAATTTCCAGTGCAAAAACAAAGATAATAGAGGAAAAAGCGCGAGGATGAAAAAATCCACATTGAATGGAATTCACCTGGAGGCCAACGTAAATCGTCCTCAGTGACCAGATCTTCACCTTCTAACAAAAGATCGCCAAATTCTTGAACATTATCACATCTTGGAAATCTTCCTGATATGCCACTTATGACAATATCTTCCTGATCACGCCAGAAAGGTGCCTCGCCTGATGAATTCATACTTCCGTTCGACTGAAACTTTTATAGATCTTTTATCGAAAACAATAGTGAAAATACCAAAAATTCATTCCATAGCATTTATTCATGAGCACAATTTTGAGTTTAAAGAAAAGGAAGATAACATATAACAAAATAGCATATAAAGAAAATGTTGTGTCTAAAAACACTTTATCTTAATTCTCCTATTCCAGTTTTATTTGAATCAAAAAATGTTTAAAATCTTAAAGATTGCGGCAATTCATAGTATAAGACATTTGGGCAGCATAAACTTAAAAACTTATAAAAACTTTATAGCATAAAAATAGGATGTAAATTATTTTATCATATAATATTTATTAAATTTAATTATTTAACTATTTTATTTTATTATACATAATGAGTTAGGATTAAGACTTTTTTAAAATTTTAATTTAATGTGATTTCTTCCGTGAATTCACTTTAAAATTTTATTATATTAAACCAAATTAATTTATTAATCCACTGTAAAGCTGGAATTTTTGCACTTATAGAATACTATAGTATAATAGTCATTTTAAGTTAATATTTATAAAAGTAAATATATGAAGTAAATTTGAAAATAAAGTGATTATCAAAGATTTGTATGAAATATAAAGGCTATTAGAATATAAAAATCTTTTTAAATAAGAGAATTAGTGACAATAATGATCGATGATATCGAAATTATTAATAAAAATAATTTAACATCGACATAGAATGAATGTTTCTCAGAAACCGAATAATTACAAAAAAACAGGAAAGGATATATGGTAAAGAATTAAGTCGGATTATTGTTATTAAGAAAAGTATCTGAGAAGCGAGTAATTAATTTTTAAGGCACATTAATAGTTTGTATAATATATATATATAGATAGCAGTAATGGTAGATAAAGTTATAAATGTTGAAAAAAATGATATTGGAAAGAGACGATGAAGACAATGCGCTCTCGATGTATTTGCATGTTCAATGTAAGGGCGGGGAGACGGAATAATGCAGCTGATAGGGGAAATAGATAAAAATCTTGGTTTCGTCACTGTATTAAGATTTTATCAAACTATTAATGACACTTATAGAGAAACATCATCCTTACTAAGTTTCCAAATCATTCTAAAATTCTCACCGTTTTTAATAAATTTCAAATGAGATGAGAAATTCGTTAAATAAAGAAAATTTTACTTTGAATTCCACTGAAAACATCTAAAGATTCCCAAATTACAACTGAATAAAGTCCTAATGATTTTCTAATCATCAGATAGGTTCCTTAGTTTTCTACAAAAAGAGAACTCAATCTTAGAAAGAAAAAAAATTAATTCTCGATGCCACAAGAAAGTTCGACCTTATTGGCGTGACCTTAATCTATGATTATTTATACATGAGATTAATTCAATAACAATGATTAAAATAACAATGACTCTACCTGATTCATTGATTTCCTTAAAATTTTTTTTATTGGATTATCATTGGTAATGATCAAAAAATGCATGAAACGAAAAAATATGAATTTGACCAACGAATCATAAAACTTTAAAAAAAGTTGTTTAAACATGCCTAACGCTAAAAAAAAAGAAATTTTTTTCTCATATCTCATGCGATAAAAATTATTGTATAATTTAATTTAGTAAACTTGTTCTTTTTTTTCGCTAAAACTCTTAAAACTCTATCAGTTTTTTTGTTTTATCACTTTATAATCTCTTTAAAATTCAAATATCATCTTTTTGATCAAATGAATTTTTAAAGATTCCTGAGCAAAGCTGAATAAAGAAAATTTTTTCCTCGTTTCTATAAATAAAACTTTTATTTGTTTAATTCTATAAATTCTATAAATTTTAAATTCTATAAATTTATAAAATTTATAAAGTTTCTATAAATTCATTTGCTCTTTGCTATTTATTGAAACAATAATAAGAATATTCTTCATTTTCTTGTTCTAAAAGCATTTTTTCTCCCTTCGCTGACTTTATTGCCTGTTAAAATAATGCCAGGGAGCGATTTAATAAATAGGATGATATATGCCTCCTTGGTAGCGACCAGCTTCCCTTACTTACTCTTACTCTGTACAAAAGCGAAAAATCGAATCGATCATTACTTCTTGGTCAATCTCTAGCTGATTATCCATCGTAAGTGATTTTTTCTGTGATGTTATTTACTAGATGCATTTTTACTTCATTTTTATGAGTTTACCTCGATTATTATCGGTTATCTTTTTCTTCCTCGATCGTATTTATTCCATAACTTCGATATATATAATATATACATATACATATATGGGATATATACTGTATTTTTGATTAATATTTCCTTACCAAATTTGACTGAAGCTCTTTGAAAAATTTTCAACAGTTGCAAATATTTTTCTGATGGCTAACAAAAAAATTCCTTTAGCTCTTTTTGATTTAAAGAACAATTTAAATAAAAATTAGTGAATTCTAAAAACCCTAATGTACAATGAAAAAGACAATGAAATTAAAAAAATATTTGGCTTCAAAATTTTTCACAATTTTTCCGTTGTTGAAATAAAATTAAACATCCTAAGAAACCAAATTTTCATCGTCTTTAAAAAGTAAATCACCTTACCCACAACAAATTATAAGGCCTAAAAAATGAAATAAGGAAAACACGCATTTTTTCATAAATTCGTGAATTCCAACATGAATGATTTACTACTTGTAATAATGGTGATCTAATTTATACATAGGCAACTCGGATTTAACTTCGATCGAATATTTTTGCGATAGGCCTCTTTAAATCAGGGCGGCCTTATTGATGCAATCTTCGAGTGATATCGTTATCGTAATCAAATTTATTCGCATTTGTCGTGTCTCAATAAAATTCTTGTGATCATTTTTTTCACAAAAAGTAAAAGAAAATATCCGCAGTTAGAAAAACAGAGTTAAGACGACTAATTGAATCAGATTGAAGATTTTTGCATAAGAAAAATACGGCCATAAAATAAAAGTTTTTTTTATTATTGAAAGCTTTGAAATAAAGCTTCATTTTTCCAAATCACTGGAAGAAACAAGCTAATTTTAGATAATTTGTGGCAGAAATGTTGTTAATAGAAATGTTAAAATAGTTAAAGCCAAGAGAAAACGACTAACTTGAGCATCAGAAAGTTCCTCAGAGACTCGCTCCCAACCGGCAGATAATTGATCCGATTGAGTAGATGCTTTCTCCATCGCCGATTCCTTTTGGATCGACTTTATTGAGATTTTTCAATTTCCTATGATTTTTTAAAAGTATATTCAAGTTTTTTTTAAAATTATTAGTAATTACAAATTATTATTTGCCTCAAAAAAGTGAAATATTGAATTTCGAAAATACGTAAATGAATTTAGAACATCTTGAAAAGCCAAATAATTCTTTCAAATTTCGACGATAAATTGTATATTTTCTAAAACCATTTCGATAAAAAATGATAAGAAAAATGTGAAGAAAAATGTATTTTCATTATAAATTCTTTAATTTATTTTTAATTTATCTTTGATTTATTTTAGTATTTTGAGGATTCGATATAATTTATTATCAAAAAAGAAAATATTTCGAAAATATTTATAATAAAAAAAATTCCTATCAATGCGCAACAGCAATGTCAAACAATATTAAGTCACTTCTTTTTTTCTCACTATTTGTATACGAAACGATGGAATTTCATATAAAATTTGTGTCGAATAAAAAAAGGCTTTCAAAATCTCATTTTCAAAAGGATATTTTAAAACGTTTTTAAATTGAAAAATTTAATAAACCTTTAATTAAAACAATAATATCGCACAGTTACCGTATAATTCAAAGAAGGATTTGTGAAAACTCGAAATAAAATTTCATTCATTGATTTTTTAGTTATTTTATTTAGCTTTAAAAAAAATAATAAAAACATAATGATTATTCAAATTATTTTCATATACTTTATTTTTTCAACGAAAATTTGTAAAAAAATATTGTAAATAATTAAAGAAACTGCAAAAAAATTTTATATGAATTTATATTTTAAATAATAAAAATAAAATACAATTCAAATAAGAATGCTGGTGGATGGAAAGGTAAAAGAAGGAAGTGATAGTGATTTTGTTCGAAAGGTTGATGACGAATACGGCAAGAACCATACGCAAGAAGTTGGGCGAAGTTAAATTCGATATAACCCCGCCTTTTATTCGTTCCGGTGCCCTGTATTATTTGTGAACGTCATCGTTACCATTATTATTATTTCTATTATCATTTTTTAAATTATAGGTTGATGGATGAAAAAAAGAAAAAAAGGTATACATCATTGAAAATGACAAAAAATTTGCCTCCTTCCCTCATCTTTATAGAATAAATATTCTGCATATGCAATAAATATTCATGGTTTCATTAAAAACTGTCACATTTAATTTTTTCTATGGAAATAATTTTTTAACTTTAGATTTAGTTTTGCAAATTAGAATTCAGTTGCCGTCGAGGAAATCTAATTTAATTTAATTTAAAGCGCATATCTTTATACTACGAGCAATTTTTAAAACTAATACCCTTGTAAAATGATTTTCATGTAAAGTACCTTTTTTTTAATTTTTCGAATTTTTAATTTATTTTTCTCGGTTAAATAAGGTTATCTGCATGAGATTTTGCACTGCATCTTGCTCTATTTCCGTAGATTTTTTATAAATATAAAAATACGAATAGATGTGACTAAAAAAATTGAATCGCCAAATCGATTTTATTCAAACTCATTTCGAAATGCTAAACTGTCAACCGTAAGTCTATCGATCACTCTATCACATATTTATAATAATTCACTCATTTCCACAAAAATACATTCAATGGCTTTCTCTCCACAAAAATACATCGAATGGCTTTCTCATATATCCGGATTTCTATTGCCATTATTACTTCTGTTATCTACCAATAGCATTATTATCTCTTCGAAAAAGTAAAATAGCTTCAGTTCAGATGTTTCTAATTAAAATGGACTTCTGAAAAGATATAGGATTGCTGAGTGGATCAGGCCATGTTGAGAGGGTACTGCTTCGACAAAAGTGAACCTGCA